GCAAAATGTTGAATAGTACAATGATTATGTCATAAAAGTGAATATGTTACAGCGAAGCACAAAGCACTGCTTTGTGACTTTGGGCAAATTACCCTTCCCTATCTGTATTTTGCACAAGTTTTAAAAAGTCAAATAAAAATATTTAAAGCACTTAACACAATGCCTGGCAAATAGTATACTGAACTTCTAATTATTTAATGCTGTTATGCTATCTTGCATTAGCGTTAAAGTTGTGCTCAGACTGTCAACTGAGTCACTATACTTAGCTAAACCTCTTAAGCTACACTGATCTTAAAGGAATTACAAGAAACATACTTAGTTTTTTGCAAGTGAAGAGTAAAATTCGGCATTTAGTCCAATATTAAAAGGGAAGGTTTGCTTTCTAGCTTCCTTTTCAACCTTATCTGGTTAGACATCAAAATAAAATGAATGAATTGTAAAGGATATTATAACCAGTCCTACCTCTTTAGTATGAAGGTCCAAAATTACATTTCTCTCCAAGAAGTTAACCAGGAAGAAAATGTAACCGCTTATAGACGTGAAAAGGAAACTAGACACAGGAGATTAAGAAAATATGCGGGTAGTATACAGCTACTGATAGAATTGTGTGCATGCACAGAATGAAACTAGAAAAAAAAATAGGGATTTGATGAAGTCTAAAATAAAGGGCTCAAGGTCCCATTCCGACTAAGAGACCTTACAATTTTTTCAACAGGCTTACTAAAGGAGTAGGTTCTTATATAAGGACTTGAGACATTATCTAAACAGTCTGACTGAAGGATGCTTGTTCACTTGTTAGACATGCATGACATTACTGAGAAGATTAATTTAGAGTTCTAGAAGTAAAGAAGACTGATTAGCTTGTGCAGGTGTATGAAAAACGACACATTAGCAAAAGGTTATGTAAACCATTTACTCAAAAAACAAAGACCAGATTTTTACATTCCCAGACTCCTACTTATCTTTTTCAAACTATGAAGGACCTGAAATTCTTTGAACACCATCAGATTTAGTTGATAATAGATCCAATTTTGAATTAGGAAATTATTCATGTAGTTTTAAAACAAAGACCATTAAAATTTTCAGTCAGATTGAACATGTGTACACTTCCTCACTTCTTCAAGAAGTCCCACCACTGAAGTATACAGATCTTATCAATACGGCATTTTTATTTTTTACAACATTTTTCCTTCTACAATAATGTATACTAAAGATTCAAATGTACTGTTTGAGTAAGAGGCACACAAATTAATTAGAATATTAACATCATCCCTTAACTCCAAAAGTAAAACTCACGGTCAGCATTTTACTGATAGTTCAGGGAGGAAAAAAGATAATTAACCATTGTTGAAAAATAAATGAAAATTTATTTTTTATTGAGTATTATTTTACATGCAAAACATATTAAAAGTAAATCTATATCAAGTTGACTATTCCAACATGAAAACCTATGCCATGGGAATTATAAAAGCTCTCTACACAATACTAATGTCGTCAATAAATTATCCAGGTTTTTTTCCTATAAATATTTAATTACCTGAATTAACTGATTTTTCAACAAAACAGTAAATTTTAGTTTTCATATGGTTTTTGCAGCCATCTGATACTTAAACTCAGAAGAAAAACCCTGATTAAAAATAGCCAAATCTTCCCCCAAAAAAAGTTCACCAAAAAAGTAATGTGTATCTGTAAGGTATCCAGAGGAGTCAAAACAAAACAGGTACATAAGTGTCCATCAAGTGATCATCACTAACACTCTATTATTACCAAAGAAATATGTGTCAGGATGTGAACTGCTTATTAAATGTAAATACTTAAAAACAAACTAGTAATCAATAATGTACAGAGAGAATACCATTAATAGTTTGTTGTATCTGAAATATTATGAGTTCTTTTTATTTCATTACTGCTATATTCCTTAACAACATTCTCTTCATAAAGAATAATTACCTAAATGAAATATAATAAGATATTTCCCAACATGCATCAGGTCTTCCACTCCACCATTCAGTAAATGCTGCAGCAAATTGAATGGTACCTATTAACTAGACCTGAAAGACAATGGCTAGATAATACCAAAAACAAAAACCAAAAAACAAAAAACAAATTTTTGAATGAACTATTCAGATTAGACCAGCTAATGCTAATTAAGGTTATACTTTGTGCTACTGACACACACTACATAGACTGTACACTGCTAAATGAAAGGGCTGATCCATGTCCATTTTTTAAAAACGTCTATAAAAACCATAATTAGATACCTATCAGATTAGTAAATACTTGTGAAAATATATGAAAATTTAATATATTTATAGTCCTCATCCATATTCCTCTCATATACTGACACGTAATTACTTTTAGAATGGGGAGAGCATTTTAACATGCTGTGAGAGTCTAGCTAAGGAAAATAAAAAAACAATATGGGTTTAGGTTTTCTAGGATAATTTTTTAAGTCTTAATACTGAGAATGAAACAACCAACTTCTATACTTTAATGAGAAACTTAACAACATGGAGGAAGCACCTGAAGAGCCAAACATTTGTTGTCTATTAGTACTATGCTTTCAGCCTAATGGAACAACAAAAGTGGCACTAGTTCTCATAAGTAACATATAAATTATAATCCTAGTTGATGGGATGTCCTTTACTTATGAGAGTGAACATAGTTCCAAAGCAAAGGAAGTAAAGCTTACTGTTACATATTAGGAATGGTTCAGATACGGTAAGAGAATGTTTAGCACTGACTTTAACATGTTATTTTAAAGTTCTAACTCCTTGAATGCTAGATCTTTCTCAATTACTATTTTTACCAATGAAAAACTGGTGTGTTTGGTTTCTTACATTACAAGACGAAAATCTTGTAACAGGCTATTAACTAAACCATGAACAGTTACTAAATAAGCGCCAATACTGCATGGAAATTACTAGGCACGGACTCAAGATTATAAAACTACAAAAAAGACAAAAGATGACTATCACTATACATATGAATATTGTCTAGGACATCAGATCAATGATCAAATCAAAGGTCTTTCCTGTTTTATATTACAGTGTTGAACTTACAAAGTCATTATACTGACTTGTATTTTCAACAAAGTGTTAGTGGACTCAAAATGTTACATTTTAATTTGCAATTATAAAAATCCAGATTAATCCAGAAAACATAAACCCACATATAATTGAGGTAGGGTTTCCACCTTAAGAATACATTGCTTTAAACCACAATTAAAAAGTTAACTTAAAAAAAAAAAATCATTGCTACATGTGTCTGCCCTGATACTAATTTTTTGTTTTAAACTACTTGAGCCAGTGTGACTGTGCTAATCTTAATCTCTGTATTTAGTAAATTCCCTCAGAAATACATAACCACCAACCTCTTTCTAAAGGTAACTGTAGTACAATAAAATTAATAACAATTCTAGAAAAATGAAAAATGGAGGTTACTTTGTAATTCCAAGTTAATGCATGTCAGAAATCAGGGGAGACAAAGTCATGTTCATGCTTCAAAATTAATAAACTTATTGTTTTGAAAGTAATATCATAAACACATTAAAACTTATATGAATATGCTTTATTATGCCATAAATTCCCAGGAAATAGAAGAAATATCATTTCTGAGTGGTACTAAAAATTTCACAAATACTAGCATTTTATCGACAACAGCCAAGTTTTCTAAGGTAATGCATATGTCTTTACCTTTTTAAAATCTGAATGCTTTTTTCCCAACCTCAATGCTTTTTATACATTTTAAAGGGAAATTATAAAAGATCCTACTTAATTTTTCAATATTCAGTGTCAAAATCTGTAAGTGATATAAATATACATTTTAAGGCCAAGAGGAAGGACTGCTTGTGAACTGCTTTGCTTAAGTTGTCACCCTCCTGTATTTGCACTAGGTATTATGTAAAAAAATCATTGCTGGAAACTTTTCTAACAAACTGAAGAAAAGGAAAATTTAAAAACAGTCCCGTCTTTAAAAGCACTAATAACTGGCATAATTTTAAAAAGGGAAATGAAATATTCCTTTATTTACATATGGATTAAATAGAAGTTTCAAAAACTACTGAAAAACCAGCACACTAATATATTTTAAGGCTGGATACTGACAGCATCTTCACAACATGCAAACTAGGAAATACCGCTATTTCTGCCACATACTTAAGGGTAACTGAAGGGAAGAGGAGTGCCTCAGAGCCAAGGCAGTAACTGAACCTGGCATACCACTCTGATATGTGGAGAGCAGGTCATTGTTCCCATGTTTGCTAACATTCTTCAAAAAGGATGCCCTTAATGCAATAATTCTGTAACTATATCAAGTTTGGTAATCTAACATTGAACTTTTGGGTAAATACATTTAAACATATGAAAACTTCCCCAGAGACCAGATAAATTATTAAATAAACTAAAAGGGGGACAAAATGCTCATAGCTAACATATGTTAACTCTAGGGTCTGCAGTGGAAGATACAGAAAGGAAAGAGGCGACAGGAGCTATTTCTAAACCTAGGTTATGATCAGAATCCTCAGACGGTGAGATTTAAAAATTCTGTCCAGGGTCTCAACCTAAATCTATCTAGAAATTACAGCCAGGGAATTCTTTGTAGGCAAAAGTGATTCTGATGATCAACCAAGGCTGAAACTTCTGAATGAGAAGCCAATCTAGAATTATAAAATTATAGAATTCAACATGGGTGATATTTATCATTTACTCTACATTTTGTCCAACTGTCTCACTTCCCTATTTTTCTAATAGTAAATAATGAAGGGACTTGGCAAGCAAAGAAAAAGTTAGTAGGCTACCCAAAATGAATTTTACTATGTTTAACTGGACAAAACAGCATTAGTATACTGTTTGGGATTCAATTATCAGACAGACATTTCTTAATGTTTATATATTTTAAAAGAGGGGGTTTTCCTTACTCAACATGAAAATTTAATATACAACTCTAAACACTAAATGATATTTAATAGAAAATTTATATACTTCAAAAATTTTAAAAATTGTTTTTAAAAATCCAATGTTAGGAAGAAAATCCCTTAAATTTGAGGTAGGGGAATAATTCTCTCAAATGAGAATAACTGTATCACAGTATTATTCTCCAAGTTAGAAATAAGCAAAGTATTTTGATACTATTTCTGTTTATGTATTGTTTTTGTAAATGTAAGTATAAATGTTTAAAGTGTGGATAAATATTTTGGTTTTGTTTTTAATGCAAATGATAATTAAAAATATAAATTTTTTTCTTTTATATTGAAATTGTACACACTCTCCTGGAATGATGAGTTAACAACTTTTTAAATATTCCATGTTCATTTATAAACCTTGGAATAATAAAAAACATAGTACCTACATAAGAAATTTTACAATGAAATTACAAGTTTATGTTTTTCAGAAGCTAAAGTGATTTTAAATTTTTTTCGATTTTCAAACATAAAAATTGTATATTTTAATTTACTGTAGCACAATTCAAGTATTCTCTAAAATTTTTTATATTTAGCCAACTGGTACATGATATTAAATGACTTTTCATAATAGCTTTCCTTTTTAAAGGTGACTGTTAGTACAAAATGGTATGACACTCTATTACTCTAAGCTGCTTAGAATAAGTTGAAAGAACAAATGACAATAGACAAAGCCTATATGAGTAAATCAACAACACATAAGTTTGCACACATCAGTAATAAGGCAATTGCAGGTAATTCCCCAAAAGTATTTGAATCCATGTAAACAAAGACTATGTATATTCCTTTAGGGAGAAAACACACTACCATAGATAAAATATATTCAAATGGTTGTGACTTTAAACCATATATTATTTGAATACCACACAAAACCAAAAGAGGCATAACCGATCATTTTAATAACTGAAAGATGTTACTTATTGGTGAAACAGAAGGTTGATACTGTTTTGAAATAATGAAAAAGAAGTATTTTGAAAATAAACACCCACTGTTTTCTCGAAATAAATACACATACTTAATGTACTGCAGCATAGGAATATTATCCTAGCATTAACCATAACATTCAATCAGTAGTTTTAAAATGTTTTTCCACACTGGGTCTTGAATCTTCTACCTTGTTAGCTGACCAACAACTTTCAAAAGAGTTTTATTTTCCTGCTTTAGTTGTTCATTTTCATCTTCTATGTCATCTAGGTCCTTAAGCAAACAAAAAAGAAAATAACATAGGAGTTTTTTAAGTACTTAAAAATATTCTAAAGGTGATTAAAAAAAAACATTTTAAAATAAATACATTCAAAGATAATTCATACATGCACTTAATTTGGAAACAAGGACAAGTTCCAAAAACAACTTTAGAGGGAGTATGCCCCACACCTGAAGGGAGCACCCACTACTCAACTCCTTCTCATTACTTGCCAGATTTTTCATTTTTAAGAGAAATAAAAAATCAGAATTCTTTAATTGTGAATCTTCTAATTTTTAATCATTATAAACAGCTTAATTTTTTAGTTAAGAACAAACCCCCCCACCCCAAATTGAGGGCTAAACAAAATAAATATTTGGGCAGTATGAGGTTCAGGTCTCAGATAACAGCCTGTGTCAAATGTGACATCAGAAAGATCGAGGTACAAGTTCTGGATATACTCCTACCACCTTGTATGATCTTTAACAAGAGTGTATGTTGTGAGGTGAAAATCTGAGGAAGTGATAAAATGGACGCATACAGTAAAGGAGATCTGGAGCACAGAGAGTTGATCTGGTTCAATTCATGTTAGGTTCCTCCATAACATTTTGTTTGAGGAAAAGGTTTTTAAAGCTCAAAAAAAAGAAAGCCACTAAACTAAGTAATCATCCTCCAGCTTTAAAGGTATATGATTCCAGGTCTATGTTCCCTATGTTAATCCCAGCACCATATATACAACAATTTGGTAAAGATGAAGATAATCCACTCTAAGTTAGAAGAAACTATTTCAAGGCAGAATGCTTACTGATAGTTGTAAAAGCACATATTTTAGAATTATCCTTGTAATTCAAAATACTAAAACTTGGAGTAATCAATTTAAATTATAAGCATGCTACCAGATAGCAGCATTCTGATAAATTCAGCATACTGCCTTTGGACAATTATGTAAATGTTTTTAAAATGTGCAAAAATAGAATCTGCATTTACTCACAAACCAAATGAATGATGCTAGGGAACTTACCTGTTGAAAACAACAATAATATACAAGATTCTGAAAATTACTACAACTGAGACCTTTCCAAGATGTAGAATTAAGTAAGATATATTTCTGTATCATTACTAGATTATAAACTCTGTAAGAGCAGATGTTTTATTATTCTTTTTAATGCACAGTGCCCAAGACAGTACTAATACTACTTCAAAACTATTTTCATATTTTATTAAACCATATTCCAAAACCAGTAGAGGAACACCTGTGTTCTAAACCAAGATGAAAGACTGTCTACAAAATGGAAGAGCTCAGAATTAGGATTTTGGAATACCTGCTGTCAAATACTGGCTCAGATAGTTACTCTGTGATTACCACCTATGACCTTGAGCAAGTTAAACTAAGTTTTGCTGTCCTCATCTATTACCTATAGTTAATGCCTCAGAGCTTTATTTAGAATGGGTCTATATAATGAAGCCTCTTTATTGCCTCTTCTTTCATTGTTAGGGTCAAGACTCGATTAGGAATCTGTTTCCCTCCCCTCACCCCCAAGCAAACTTTTTTTTTTTTTTAAAGATTTTATTTATTTATCTGACAGACAGAGATCACAAGTAGGCAGAGAGGCAGGCAGAGAGAGAGGAAAGGCAGTAGGCTCCCTGCCGAACAGACAGCCCGCCGCAGGGCTCAATCCCAGGACCTTGGGATCATGACCTGAGCCAAAGGCAGAGGCTTTAACCCACTGAGCCACCCTGGCGCCCCAAACTTTTTCTCTTATCTAAATCATTCCAGTATGCAAAACTATGGAATCTTTTCTCATCAGCATTGCTTAAGAATGGCCCAGCACTAACACTTGCTTCTTAAGCAAAAAGTAAATTCTAGGGCTGAAAGCAAGAAAAAGAATTACAAAATAGTATAATAGAGACCTGGTAGAATGCTAAACTTAAGGGGGACGTGCACTAAGTACAACTGGGGGGAAAAAGGTGGTAAAACACAAAGACATTTCAAGTTTCTTATGGCAAGAAAGCAGCAAGTTTTGCTCTTCACTGAGGCAACTCTGTACCAATGTCCTTTTATGTGTGGTGGTGACCAAGCTGCCTCTCACCTCGACTCTAACAAAACACTAAACAAATCCATTCATCAGTCCATCCCCAAAAGAACAATAATAATTGAATACAACTGATAACTGGCCAGAGGAAATCAGTTTATAGAAAGAAATGATGATTCTTATTACTACAAATTACCATCCCTTTAACAAAATAATGAAATTGCATAATCTCTTCATATATATGTATTTTCATCCAACTGCCAGGAAAAAAAACAACTGTGAAACTGAAATGTGTGAATACTTACTCGATTTAACAAATCAATTTCTTCTTTGAGTTTTCCGATCATTTCCTCTTTATCTTGCATTAGTCTCACAAGTCTTAAGTTTTCTTGCCTTTCTCTTACTACTTCCTGGTAGATATAATTAATATGAAGTATTAATTGTGAAGTAACTGGTTGTTTTTAACCTTAAATGACATGTATCTGCCAAGTTTGGTGAAACACCTTAGATATATAAAGATTTCAATGGATTTCTTAAGTCACCTGGTGAGGGAAGGAAAAACCCAGCCTAGGAAAGACCCAAAGAATGAGAGGAATACAGGAGATGTAAGATATATTCCTTCTTCTTCTTTTTTTTTTTTTAAAGGATTTATATATTTTATTTGAGAGAGAGAGAGAGAGTGTGCCCCGGTAAAGGTGAGCATGGGCAAAAGGGGAGAGGGAAAGAATCCAAGCAAAATCCCAAGGCGGGGCTTGATCTCACAATCTATTAGATCATGATACGAGGAGGACCCAAGAGTCAGATGCTTAACCAAATGAGCCATCCAGGTGCCCCATATTTTGATTAAACTGATGTTTACACAATTCTTTAACAAACAGTAATACCCAATGACTTATCCTCTTTAGTTCATTACCACCATTAGTAATGATATATCTTATTTTTTAAATGAATAATATCCTGTTTGAAGAAATTCAAATATGTTATTCAAAATACAAAGTTTAAAGTGCACCTAGGTGGTGCAGTTGGTTAAGCCTCCTACTCAGGTAGTGATCTCAGAGCCCCTTGTCAGCTCCAAGCTCAGCGGAGGGTGCTTGGGATTCTCTCTCCCTCACTGCCTGTCCCTCCCCAACCAAATAAGTAAATAAATATATCTTAAAAACAAAACAAACCCACAAAGTTTAAGAAAAGGAGATGGCTCTGGAAAACTAAACAGAAAAACAATGGTTCTCAATGTTACCTGTGGCCCTACCAGTTAATGGATAAAATAAAGGAACTGAAATAGATTACTGGTTTTTAAACTTTTTTTTTTTTTTAAACAATGCAACACCTTTTTCAAAAAATGATTTAGAATCCAGGGCCTTGGGCGGGGTTGACTACCATGGGGGCAAAAGGAAAGCAGAACTGAAAAATTTTGCTCAGAATTTGACCTCTTTTCTGCTAGCCCTCAGAAAAAGCAGCCAGCGGGTCTCATTAAACAGCTGCTGCCAAACTACTCAGGACTGGATCCAAACTCATGTGGAACTGTAAAAGCCTTTCTAAAGAAAGCTTTTAAACTGGTTAGACTATGTATTCCTTTAAGTTTTTAACTTAAACTCACAGAAACTGGTATCAAAGCTGAAATATGAACTAAAAAACAATCATAATGCTATACAAATTTTTTAAAATTAAATTTCTACTTAAAGCAATCTTTGTATCACAGGGAATAATTTCAAGTCAGCAATACAAAACATTTTCAACAATCAGAAAGTAATCAGCACCGTTACCAACTTTACATATTAAATGTCGATAGAAAAAAAACCCAGAGACTGTATGGTTAATATATTTATGACAATATTCATTTGACTTGTTCTCAACTACACTCCTGAATAGGTCTATTCTGACAATTGTTTCAAACACCAAAGATGACTCTAAGCTCTAAACAAAACCCAGAAGAAAGTCTACAAATGATACACTATACAGATAATATAATAAACACACAGTAGGGCACACTACCAGCATAGATTTAGAATCATTTAAAAACAACGACTGTCTTTTAAAATGTTAGCGGTAACATGCAGCAGAATGGGAGTATACATTAAATATTAAGGAATACAAGAACTGGCTCCATTCCTAAAAGTTTTAACAACAGAACTGGATAGGAAGGTGTTAATGGAGTCAGAAAATGTCTAGCCACAATGTATCTGGAAAATATATACTTAAGACAGTGATTTAAAGATGCAACTTGACTATATATGGAAATACCAATTAACCCTAATGGTATCTTCCACTAGCACCTCTCATTCTTTTCCTTTTGTTGGCACTATCTCTCCCATACAAATTTCAATTTATTTTCTCAGCTGCTCTGAAGGTAAAAAAAGGAATCCCTACGGTATACAAAATTTATCAAATCTTAAAATAGTTTGTAATTCATACCTTTTCAAGATCTTCAATTTTCTTTTCCAACATGCTACTTGAGACCAAATTACCTGAAGCATTTGCATCCCTGTTATATCTGCTGAACCCACTTCTATCTGTTCGGGGATATCTACTTGAAACATCTTCTTCAGAGGCAGTTGTGCTATGGAAATAAAAAGATGTATTTATAAAAGTATCTAATACTCAGCAAGAAGAATGCCAAGAATATTTTCTATTCACCATAAATAATTACCATTCCCTGAGGACACATGGTTATAGTAGCCAACTCATTTATAACTAAAGAAGTTAATCATTATTCCAACACAACAAAAAAAAAATTAAAAAAAAGTTAATTCTTCTGACCAATAACTACTGAGTAGTCACTAAGTACCAGACACTGTTCTGTGCATGAAGATATAGCAGCAAAGAAAGACATGGACTCTGCCTTTCAAAGAGCTTTCGGTCTAACAGGGAATATAACCGATCATAATAAAGCAAGATGACCACCACAATAAGGTTAAATGTAGGGTACTATGACAACTGACAGGGAACTTAATGTAGATTACCTGTGGTGGAAAACCATTTTGTTTTCTTTTTCTTTTTTTTTTTTTTTAAATTCTAATCCATCATGGACCAATAGATCAAATGAAAACAAACTAGTGGAAAAATAGGCCATATAAAATACAAGTTCACTGTTTTATTAGCTATGTCCATAAAATTGTATTTCAATAATTAGAATGAACAGAAAAAAGAACTACATAAAATTGTGTACTTTCATTGAACTGTGCATATAGGCAATCACAGAAAACAGCCATCACACTAATAACTTTTGCCATTTCATAATTATAAGTGAAAATGATGACTGAAATGGCAATTCTTCATATTAAACACCAATTCACATTCCCTGAACTAATAGCATATATGCTCATATTTAAAGTTTTTTTTTTTTTAAGATTTTATTTATTTATTTGACAGAGAGAGATCACAAGTAGGCAGAGAGGCAGGCAGAGAGAGAGGGGGAAGCAGGCTCCCTGTGAGCAGAGAGCCCGATGTGGGACTCGATCCCAGAACCCCGAGATCATGACCTGAGCTGAAGGAGAGGCTTAACCCACTGAGCCACCCAGGCGCCCCATATTTAAAGTTTTTAACATAATAAGTGAGTTTGCTTCTTGTTTTTCATATTAGTTATTTATTACTACATTAAAAGTTACACCAAAACTTAGTGGCTTAAAACACCACACACTTATCTCACAATGTCTGTTGGTTAGGAATCTGGAAGCAGTTTAGCTGGGTGGTTATGTTTCAAGGTCTTTTATGAGGTTTTGGTCAGGACTACAGTCATCTGAAGGCCTGACTGGTCTAGAAAAATTTGTCTTTGAGCTCACTCATATGGCTGATGGCAGAAGGCTTCAGTTTCTAACTGGCTGTTGACCAAAAGCCTTAGTTCCTCAGTATATAGGCCTCATGTAGAGTTGTTCACCACACAACAGCTGGTTTCCGGAGACAGACAAGACAGACACTGCAGTATCTATGCCCTAATCTTATAAGTGACATACTATCACATCAACCCTATATATACTGCCATGTGGAAGGAGATTATGAAGATGTAAATACCAGGAGGTAGGGCATCCTGGGAGCTCTGTCAGAGGCTGGCTGCCATTTTTGTAAACTGACCTATACTAGGTTAGACTGATGACAATGCCAGACACGAGGGATAAGGTATATCTAAACTACTTCTAGGTTTTCTTTCAATAGCACTCATAACAGAAAAACTAGTTTCATAGCTGTATGTTAACAGGAATAGAAGATATTTTAAAGCAATTTCAGCTCAGGATACTAATTTTTAACTTCTACCCAAAATCCAGAAAATGGTGCTTTTTAAAATTTGTCTTCAATCCTTTATTAGTAGCCAATATCAATAATTTATCCATCAAAATTATAGTTCAATCCACAATAGTTTTTGATGAAAAAAGTGGATTCTTGAGCTATTGACTTCATATGCACTTTCTTTTAATAAAAAATAAAATTCAAAGTGTGTCTTACCAAATTTGTAAATCTGACAAACTTCTTACCAAGTTTGCCTTACCAATTTGATATTAACATTTTATAAATGTGCACTACAAAAATCACCAACTATTTTACTGACAATTGTTACTGTGAAACCTATCAAAACAATCTGGAAATTTTTTCCCCAAATTTCTAAGTTTCATTTTTGTTCTTTGATATTATATAACATTAAAAACATCTGACTTTCTTTCCTTGCATGGAAAGCTAAAATCATTTTTAAAAAAGAATAAGGCTATCAGACAAATAAATCTAATTCACATATTTAAAAAGTTTGGGGACCAAACTGGTTCCCTGCAAAAACACTAAGCATTCATCCCGAAGTTCAAACACTTTTGTCTGAATATTTCCCTTTGAAAATTATTATATTCCTTAGCATATGGTAACAGTTGACTGGCTCAGCTTCCAAACTATAGTTTATTTTTTTTAATCTCAAATTTAATGCATTAGTGTTTGAGCAATTCACACTTTTAGTGAACTACTGTTAATTTAGCTGATAAAGGAAGTATACCGTTTAGTTCAGCTGACAATAGCAAGGCTTTCTCAATGAAAGAAGCAGGACATTGATTCACATTATGGCACAGGTTCCAGAGTGTTTTTCTTGTCACCATCTCTCTATAATCAGAACATACTCCTACAAAAGCAAAAAAACCCTCCAAACCATATCTGGTGATTTGTTAACCTTTTAAAGTTTTACATAAGTCCTAGTAAGTTGTGTTTGTCAACAAGGAAGCTGAAAAATAAATTCTGCCTTCTTATCACTGTCATATTAACAAAATCAACGTGATCATCAAATTGTAACAAAAAATTCCTTTGCCATCCCTATCTGTCCAAGAGTCAGTCTTCTGTATCACTAAACTATTCCTAAATACATTAAGCTATGGTGTTGTCAGAAAGTATTAGATAAACTACCTTCTCTGCTACAGATTCATCCAACATTTCCAAAGAAACACCTTTGTCTTTTCATTTTTGTGTAGTTGTTTTTAATGTTAGCAACGTGAAAATGAGACTTTGAAAGAAACTAAAAAAGCTCTAATGATTACATAAGAAATCCTGCAGATCTGCTTCTGTCAGCTTAACTGTAATATTCCTTCTTTCAAATAATTCATTTGTGGTTGTGAACGTACTTATGTAATACATATAAATGCCACTTAAATTTTGATGTTGTTATTGTTGTAGCAGCCAGCACATCACTGCAAATAAACCACTGTGGTTTTAGCACTTTCCCATCAATTACGGGTAAAAACTGAACTCAACACAGGCATCCCTCAGCGATACTTTGGGTTTGGTTCCAAACCACTACAATGAAGCACGTATTGCAATAGAGTCAAATGAATTTTTTGACTTCCCAGTGCATATAAAAGTTACATTTACACCATACTGTAGACTATTTTTAAAAATTTTATATAACTAGAAAATATTTGTAATTTTTTTTTTTAAAGACTTCATTTATTTATTTAACAGAGAAAGAGAGAGAGATCACAAGTAGGCACAGAGGCAGGGGGAAGCACGCTCCCTGCTGAGCAAAGAGCCTGATGTGGAGCTCGATCCCAAGACCCTGAGATCATGACCTGAGCTGAAGGCAGAGGCTTAACCCGCTGAGCCACCCAGGCACCTATGTAAGTTGTTTTTTGTTTGTTTATTATTTAAATTCTAGTTAGTTAAAACACAGTACAATATTGGTTTCAGGAGTAGAATTCAATGATTCATCACTTACATACAACATCCAGTCCTAATCATAACAAATGCCCTCCTTTATCCCCATCACCCACCTAGCCTACCTCTCCCTCTCTCAACTCTTCCTCTCTCTCTCTCCCTCTCAGTTTGTTCTCTATCATTGAGTCTCTTATGGCTTGGCTCCCTCTCCTTTTTTCTTTTTTCCCCTCCCATATGTTCATCTGTTTTGTTTCTTAAATTCCACATATGAATGAAATTATATGGTAAGTCTTTCTCTGACTTATTTTGCTTAACATAATACTCTCCAGCTCCATCCACATCATTGCAAAAGGCAAGATTTCATTCTTTTTGATGGCTAAGTAATAGTCCATTGTATATACTACTACATCTTCTTTATCCATTCATCAGTTGATGGACATTTGAGCTCTTTTCATAGTTTGGCTACTGTTGATAATGCTGCTTATAAACATCAGGGTAAATGTACCTCTTTGAATCAGTACTTTTGTATTCTTTGGGTAGTTACCTAGTAGTGAAATTGCCAGCTGATATGGTAGTTCTATTTTTAACTTTTTGAGGACCTCTGTACTGTTTTCCAGAGTGGCTGTACCAGTTTGCATTCCCACCAATAGTGCAAAAGGGGTTTCCCTTCCTCCCCATCTTTGCCAACACCTGTACTACAGCCTATTAAGTATGCAATAACATTATGTTAAAAAAACAATGTACATGCTTAAATTTACAAATATTTTTTAAAATGCTAACCATCATCTGAACTTTCAATGAGTCATAAGCTTTTTGCTGGTATTGGGGGGCAGGGGTCCATACTACCCAAAGCAATGTCTATACTACCCCAGAGCAATCTACATCTACTTCTGTGTTAATGGCTGCTGCCTGATCAGGGTGATGGTTTCTAAAGGCTGGGGTGGTTGTGGCAATTTCTCAAAATAAGACAACAATGAAGTCTGATGGATTGACTGAATCTTTCTTTCACAAACAATTTCTCTGTAGCATGCAACGCTGTTACATAGCATTTTACCCACAGCAGAGTTTCTTTCAAAACTGGGAGTCATTCTCTCAAACCCTGCCAATGCTTCATCAACTACATTTATGTATTATCTAAATCCTCTGTTGTCCTTTCAACAGCATCTTCACAGCATCTTCAGCAGGAGTGAAGATGAAAACACCCATCTCAACAAACCACTTTTTCTGCCCATTCATAAGAGACAACTCCTCATCCAGTAAGGTTCTATCACAAGACTTCAACAACTCAGTCACATCTTCAGGCTTCACTTCTAATTCTTCTTGTTTTTTTTTCTACCCCATGTGCAGTTACTTCCTCTACTGGTCTTGAACTTCAAACTGTAAAAAACACAGTAACTACAAAACAAAAAAGCAGAGTGCAATAAAAGACGGTATGCCTGTATA